AAAAATTTTCAATATTATAATAAATATATATTATAATATTGTTTAATTAATTAATTATTATAATAAAATATATATTATAATAAATAAAATTAGTTTTATTTTTTTATTTTTATAATAATTGTATAAATATGAATATAAGAATTAAAAATGAAAGAATATATAAACATAAGGAGATAACAAAATAATTTAATATTAAAAAAAAAATAAATTTTTATCTAATAAGAATTTTTAATAAATATATTTTTATTTATTTATTTTATTTTAATATGTTTTATTAATTATTAATTGTTCAATTTTAGATTAAATCTTCTAGAATATTTGTCTCCAATATCAATAAATAATTATTCAAATTTAATAACATTTTCAGAACAATATATATTGTACTTTAATTATAATTCATAAAATTATTTGCAAAATATTCGCGTTTATATCATATATATATAAGGATAATAATATATCAATTATTATTTTCGATTTAATAAATATTATATATAATTTTAAATATTTTAATAAAATAAAATATATTATTATTTATAATAAATAAATTTAAATAAATTTAAATGCCATAATATAAAAATTGATACATATTAATCAATATGTTGAAAAATATCTATTTTCTACAGAGGATTCATGTTCAAATATTTTTGAAAAGTTAGAATTAGTTTTTCAATTTGTATTGAGATGTAATATAAATCTTTTTTCAAATCTTTTTATTGAAAATTTTTTTAGTTTTTATTTTTATTTATATTTTGAAAAATTATTTAGAAACAATTAAAAAATAAAAGCAATATAATAAAATAATAATTAATAACACAATAAGATTAATAAATCTCTATATCTTTTGTGTAATGTACATTTTAAATACTGTTATATTATGTTCAGAAAATTAATATTAATACTGTTATATTTATCAGAACAAAATGTTTGCCATACAAGGCTTTTTTATAATTGAAACTAGAATATTGATAAAAATTAAAAATAAAAAAAAAATGAATTTGTTTTATATTCTATACATTGCTTGGAAAATGTAAAACTAAAACTACACGATTTACGAGAAAGCAATCAACTTTTATCTCTTTAATTATTATTTTCTCATTTCATATTTGGTTAACAGTATGTCTATATTTTACTAAAATAAACTGAAGTTTTAATTGAAAACGTTAAAACATCTGATAAAAATATATGTACATATGAGGTTAATAATAAAAATAAAATTCAATATTTTTTTATCAGATTAATCGAATATACGTATTAATATCCTCAAATATTATTTTTCATTAAATCCAATAGCAATATATAAAATTACTCAAAATTCAATTAAAAGAAAATTAAAAACAAAACTATATTATATTGATAAAATATTAATTTAAATAAGAGTTCATCAATTAGTAAGTAATTTATCATAAAATAAAAATTCAAATTTTAATAATTATTAAATTTTCATGTTTAAAATTATTTGTTTATGAATAAGTACTTTATGTATCGATTTTATTTTTTTATTTATTTAATAATCTTTAAATTAATTTTTTTTAATCGTAAGTTAAATATTTTATATATTTTCTGTATTCTTTCTAATTATTATTTTTTTTCTAAATATTATAAAATATTTTAAAAAGATAACATTAAATAACATTCAATTAAATTTTGATCATTTTTTTTAAATAAATTTATATAATTATTGATTAAATATTTAATAAATTGAAAAAAAAACAAACTTACTTTTAATTTGTTATGTTTTTATTTTAATTATATCTTTTAATACAAATGATTGTATATATTTTTTTTTCATCCCAATTAATCAATTGGTCCATTTTAATCCAAAATAAATTATTTTTATTAAATAATATAATTAATTACAAATTTTCAATAAAAATTTTAAATAAAATTTTAAATAAAATTTTAAATAAAAATAATTTTTTTGTCTAAAATAATAACAAATTATTTTCAAAATGAAATGATATTTCTATGTTAGTTTCTATTAATATATTATATATTGTAAAATACAAAATTTTCACCAATGATTCAAGGAAATTTAATAGATCATCAAGAAATGTGTTTTAATATTTTCAGATAATATTCAGATAATAAATAAAAATAAAAATAAGAAAAAATAAAAATAATGAATGAAATGAAGGAAATAATTTAAAGCATGAAAGATTTAGATATAATAAAAATAGAATATTAATATTAAAAAAATTTTAATTTTACTATTTCATATTATAATATATAATTATAGCAAAATATATTATATTATATTATATTATATTATATTATATTTACATTGTTATATAAATATTAATAAACTGTAATATTAAAATTTTTGAAATCAATTTTGAGAATTAATAAAATATTAATTAATTAAATATTAAAATTAGAATTCATATTATTATTATTGTTATTGTTGTTATTATTATTGTTGTTGTTATTATTGTTGTTGTTGTTATTGTTATTGTTACTGTTATTGATATA